GGAACTGTGAGTGACAAGCACTACAGCCACAACACTAGTGGACTTATATACATCCCGCTCTTCACACGATCCCATTGGATTGCGGGGGTTTTTTCATTATCCTCCCAAGCCGCGCCATCAAACAACATACACAAGAAACAACAACAACGTAAAACGTACGTGCTACGTGTTTACGACTCGGCACCGTCACCGCCAGTGGAGCGGGATGTACGACGTGCCTTCAGGCCGTACGATGACATCATCACGGTCGAGTTTCTTCCGACTCCACGACAAGTGCGGTCTAGCGAAGATTGTGGCATTTTTATGTCCATGCATTTTTTTGCGTTTGCAGTCAAAGTGAATGTCCACATCACGCCCGGTCTGACCAAGATGGTCCGACGTTTGTTCAACACAGTGTTGCGCCACTGCAAGGAACCGCCGACACGCGCGGTCTTCCTTTCGAGACTGAAGCGTTTTCTGGAGCTACGAACTGACAACGAACGCCACAACTTGTTAAACGCCACTACAATTGAGTGGCGACAACNACGTGAACACCACCAGTCATTGCTTGAGCCTTAATATCTGGAACTTGTCACTAACACAGAGAGAAGGGAAAAATTAGAAATATATATTACGTGCAGAAAACATAATATGGACTACACAGAGAGGTCTTCATAAAAACACGTAGATTTGATAATATCATATTTATTTTATAAAAACCTTTCCCCATTATATTGTCCGTGTGCAACATCGTGCACAATAATTTGGGATTTCTGCGTCCACCGCATCACTCAATAAAAATAGAAAATCATAGGATTATAATTTCAGTAATACTAAAACAAGGTACAAATAACGGGTAATCACATATTAATTCTCCAAGCATTCTTGTCACACATTGGAGGCAAAAAAAAAGAGGTGGTGTTACTGGCTCTACGTTTTCTTATGCACATAAATTCGGAGAATTATGGACAAATTGGTATTATCAGCACACAACCCTATGACAAACCATAAACCATGACAGTTAGGCTCATTATTATCTTTCTCGCATTTTATCTCTCTATATCTTTTCTATCAACAGACTCACTTTTGCTGCTCCCTCTTTCACAGAGGGCATGTGCAAGCAGGTTGTAGAATCGAGACTCACACATTATGATAGAGTGCAAATACTGCATGAAAAACAAGAAAAACCAATAACCTAAAAAACAAAAAATCTAATAATAATAATAATAATAATAATAATAATAATAATAATAATAATAATAATAATAATAATAATAATAA